CGCAATGAAAGAAACTTAACATCGGTTTCCCTCTCTCTGTCCCTCTCCTGCAGTGTGGTGCGTTCGTTTCTCCCAGGAGCCCGCGGACCAGTCGGTGGTACTGGGAGAACGGGTGGTGCTGTCCTGCGTGGTCTTCAACTACAGCGGCATCGTCCAGTGGACCAAGGACGGCCTGGCCCTCGGCATCGGCGAGGGTCTGCGCGGTGAGGGAGGGGACAGAAATCCTGTAATGGGAGAAAAAACCTTGCAGCTGCAGGGATCAAAGTGAAGTGAAGAAGGGGAATAACTCAGCCACGGTCTCGGTTCAGTTTTGATTGTAAGAACCCTGACAAAAGCTATTATGGCTGAAAAGTGCAGGGGTTTTTTAACATTAAGGGAATGAACACTGTACAGAGAGAGATAGAGTTAAGAGCCAAGAGGCGTGTGAGTGACAATCTGGGCAAAAATGAGTCCTGTATATCATGCTGAATTAGAGAAAATCCCTCACACTGCTGACAAAAGCAGACGCACATTCGCATTTACATTTTAAGCCGACACGCACATACAGAATGACTTACAGTGAGTGCAACAGTAGAGTACGCTTCATTTCAGAGATGGAGAGGCATCACATGCAAACAAAAGTGAGGAGAGTCAAAGGGTCAAAGCCTCAACAGACGAGTCTTTTTTTGTCTCCATTCAGGAAATGATCAGAGGAAACTCACAAGTGCAAACCGAAAGAATAAGAAGCAGAGAGAAGAAGAAGAAGAAAAGAGAAAAAATGTCCTTCACTGACCTCAGCCCCATTTTTGCAAAATTCAAACAAGCTTTTGACCACTGCGGCTCACTGAATGTTGCTATTGACATCTTATGACTGCAGCTGCTGGCAGCTCGTACTCTTTGCCCGTGATAAATCTGGGCAAGGAATGAAAATGATCCTTCAGACTTTCATGTGTTCAAGTATGAAAAAGCCTCTCTGTCCCAGAAATTAAAAACTTCACCGAAGCAAAATTAAAGACTGTGTGACATGTTAAAACTTAAACGCTTCATTATAACCAGTTAAAAGGCTCCTGATGACGAAAAGTGATTTATTGATGAATTTCACCATAAATATGTGGAAACATGACTGACAGGTGCCAAAAACCTGCTTTTGAATTACAATCTGTCAGATGCTTTTTTAACGTTTAACTGTCAACATCTTGTAATGCGCAGCAGGACTGTTGTGGTGATTCTGCTCTGCACTTACAAGCACCTGTCAGACAAACCGTGTGCAGGATTATGACATCAACAGTTTCTGCTGGTGACGCTATAAAGACTCAAACTCAAATGCTATGCTAAATACATATTTTTACCTGCATTAAAGTGACTTTAAAGTGATAGTTCTGGTTATTTGACATGGGGCTGTGTGAGGTAATCATACAGTGTATGTAGATACGGAGCGGCGCCCTGCCAGTTTGGAGAAGGAGACGTAAGCACCGGCACAGAAGCTGAGTGATGTGGTTTAATAAAATGTCCACCAAAAGAAGTCAATATCAGTTGAAGTGTACGCTACTTTATTTCGCCATCAAACAGCCCATTCCTTTGGAACTACATTTTCTAAACCGCTGAACTACCATATTACCACGCCCAAGCGCACTTACAGCACACACAGTATCACGCCGCGGATCAGCTGTTTATATGCACAGTATGCCGCTAGGGGTCTTTCAATCAATAACAGAGGACGGTGTCGTGGCGACGTTGTGAAATAGTATGTGATCATGGGAGTTGTTGTCTTCACCACCATCACCGTAACGTTCTCCCGGTTTGGATTCCTTCAGTGTCAAGTCGTTCAGGAGGTTTTTACCAGGAACCGAATTATCCACAGACGTCTCCTCCTCTCCAAACCAAACACACCCTGACTTGTAAAATCACTGAATAAAGCTGTTTCACACCCAGTGTTTTTCTCTGAGGGGTTTGGACTAAAATCCTTCATCTGGTTAAAATACATAGTTAAAAAAACAACCAAGTGTACCAAAAGTTGTATCTTGAAAATGTGGCTTGAACTTGAGCTTCTTGCAGGCGAGCGCAATGTCGACACGTGCAAAGCAGATATGACGTTCATTGGCAGGCGACCAAATCATTCATCAAATCATCAGTCATTTTAATGTGGAAAAGTTACATATTATAACTTTAAGTCAGAAAGAACTAAGTGTAGGTGCGCTTGTGCGTAGGAATACGGTAGTTCAGCGGTTGAGAAAATGTAGTTCCAAAGGAAAGCGCGGTTTGACGACAAGATAAAACATTGAAAATATTCAAAATATGCATATGATAATATTAAATACAATTTACATGTTTGAGGATTGGCCCCATCCACAGCAGCACATCACTTCTGTACCGGTGCTCTGGGCTGCTTCTCTAAACTGAGAAGGCGCCACTCCGAATCTTCTGCAGGCAATAAACTGACTGTGTATAAGTATCTCACACAACCCCACGTCAAATCACCAGAACTATCACTTTAAAATCATTCTGAAAACAAACAAACACTTATTTAGAAATGAAGTCAACAAAATGTAACGTTACAAACAAGGAAGTAAATTAGCACTCGTATACTTTATTCCCACAAATCTCCATTTCTCATCAGACTGTAAATTCACCCACAAAGAACGACACACACGCTGTATAGCACGCAAACACATCACATACATAACCTCCCACACACGCACACACACACACACACACACAGACACACACACACACACACATATTGAATCAACCCACCGCCCACGCACACACACATAAAACAGACACACACATTGTCACTCAAGTGATAATCTGACATGTGATGTGAATCTTGTGTTCAACTCAATTTAATTCACAGGTTCAGTAAAGGTCAGCACATCTCGCTCTCTCTCCCTCCCTCCCTCCCCTCCCACTCGTCTTTCACTCCCTCCCTCCTCTGTCTTTTCAAACTACAGCTCCATCATCACTTTGCTTTATGTATTTCCCACATCACCTTCATTGCTGTTTCATCTGTCTTCCTCCTCTTCTGTTTTCTCTCTTCTTCTTCTTTTTTTTCTCATCCCTTCCTCCTCCCTCTTTCTCTCTGTCTGTCGGTAATGCTCTCTTTGTCCTTGCAGCCCTTTTTTTTGCGAGCATGGTCCCGGTGGCAAACACACCAGCGTTTGATAAACATGTTGTTCTCTTTGTCTCTTTATTCTCTGCTTTTTCAGCCATCTATCATCACCTTCTGTCCATCCTTCATCCTCAAATAGTCTGTGCCGCCGTCCCTTCCTTCATCTCTGACACTGTCTCTCAATCTTTTCATCCCTTTTTCATACTGTGAGCATGAAGTCATGTAATGTGTGTGTGTGTGTGTGTGTGTGTGTGTGGAGGAAGGGGGGTCTATAAGTTGTGAATATATATGCACCAGCAAATAATATTAATTGATTCTGATCCGAGGATGTGTTGCTGATGCATGTAACATCACATATAAGAGGTTGTTGTTATGTGCCCTGTATGATGTCATACAGCTGTTGATGACAGAGTGGGCGTGCGGTAAATTCATACCTGCAGTTTGAACACCCACACACATGCAGGAGATCTGCATTTATTCACTGACAAAAACACTTTCTCAACATCACATCGCATCACATCACATAGTTGCGCATGTACATGTGAAAACGAAAATCCTTATAATGTATGTATCAGTGTGTGCACCGACATGCGTGTCATGTTTACATGTATACCTAGAAACGCACATCTATCCCCTACCTGCAGGCATCAGTGGTGGCAGTTCATTGTTCGTCCTCAAACCTCCTCCTCCTCCTCCTTCTCCTTCTCCCCGGGGTGCTTTCACCTCTGTGGTTGCTATGCTGCGAGGTGCTGGAGTGGATGATGTAATCTCCACTAATACTTTTGTCCCCCCCCACCCCCCCGACCCACCCTCCTTCCTCCTCTCCGTATACCCCGACTGCCTGCCTGCCTGCTCGCCTGCCTTTGCCATCTGAATCCATGATGTCATGTTAGGATTGGGCACGGAGGATCAATGAGTGCCCCCTAGTGGGACGTCACGCTCAATTATGTCTTTGTCTGAGAGGCGAGGGTTCAAACAGAGAGAAAAGGGGCTGTTGTAATTGGAACGGCGCTGCCTGTAGTTCTGCGTATGATGCTGGAATTGATGTGGCATCATTGTATATGTGGCAATGCCTGATCAGTGTTTGTGCAAAAACCCCTCAGCTGTGTGTGTGTGTGTGTGTGTGTGTGTGTGTGTGTGTGTGTGTGTGTGTGTGTGTGTGTGTGTGTACTCCTGCATTCATTACCTTCCTCTGGGTTGTTTGAGTAAAGGACCTACTATCATGGTCTCCAGATGCTCCGGTTAATGCAAAAAGGTCTTCAGAACTTCCGACACAAATGCCACAAACGCTGAGCGCCGTCCGTGCGCTGTGATTAAAAGCTTTGACATTTCCACATGAATATGTGTACCATTTGCTGATCTCTGCCTCTGACTGATGTGATACAATTGTGATTCAGCTTTTTATCCATTTCATAAGAGCTTTTACATTTGCTTTATCTTGTAAACAAGTCAAGTGTCAGTCCTCTGCTGCACAGGCAAGCAGAGAAATACAACAGTCACTGACACTGACTAAAAGAAGATGAAAGAGTAGATATACAAATGTTTTCAATGGTTCCCTTTTCTGAAAATGTTTTTGTGCTCCGTTCACTGAAAAAATGTATTACCTCACTTACTTTTTATGGTGTCTATCCATTGAGATAGTTTAAGTTTTATTTCCTGAGCTTTCTGTTGCAACCCCAGTAAAGTGAAGATGAATGGGATTTTCACTGACACTCATCCACAGGATATATACGTGATATCACATTTTCACCATTATCGTCACCAAAAAAAAAAAATCTTGATTACAGTATAATCGTGATATCTCTAGAATATGTGAATAATAATAATAATAATAATAATAATAACAACAACAAAAAGAACAACCAGATGAACTGATTAACAAAATATCCACAAGGCCTAACATCTGCCATCATGATATTATTATATGTGCATTATTAACACAATATTTTTAGTTATCGTCAGTGCCGTTATATCGCAACACCTCCTCTCGGAACAGTTTTCAAAGGGGTGACTGTTTATCATCAAATAGTCCCTTTGAAACCTGTTCAGTGGATTATTCATTCAGGTGAACTACATCCTTAAATTAATAACATTTCTTTTCATATTCCATTTTCTATACTTTTACAGCCAAAGCTTTGAGCTGAGGATGTTGGACAGCTGATGTTTCTACAGTCATCACAACAAAAGATGTCACAATATGTGAAACCTGGCATCTTCCTTCCCATGTATATTTACAGTTTCACCTAGTTTTCTTCTTAGTAGAGGGAAATAAAAAGTTTTACTCCAAAACCCAATACCATTTTTTTTTTTTTTAGTGTTGCTGAAACTCATCACTCACTGTTTCTAAAATAAAGATGATATTATCCTCCAACACAGATCTTTTGTGAAGGCAGTGCTATTATGATGACTCATGACTGTAGTAGCAGCGGGTAATGTAGCTCTTCCTTCATGCCAACAATCATCTCCAAACAGCAGGCCACATTTTTCCAGGTGGTAGACTATTTTTAAATTACATTCCAGAAGTTAATTTTCCAAACGCGACAGGCTTTTCTGACCTGCGAATAAAACGTATTATGAAACACGACCTAACAGTGGAAGTAAAAAAGGAACCCCAAGCATGAATCACAAAATGAGTTTTCGACTCCATCTTTCTAACTGTAAACCTGCTGTGTGTCTCCTGCAGCCTGGCCCAGGTACCGTGTGCTGCGGGCTCTGGACATCGGCCAGTACAACTTGGAGATCTCCAATGCAGAGCTTTCTGATGACTCTCTGTACGAGTGTCAGGCCACGGAGGCCGCCCTGCGCTCCAGGAGGGCCAAACTCAATGTGCTCAGTAAGTGGACCACAGCTGCAGACACAGGGGCCATTTTTCTCATGCTTGTTTTTCCGATTTTCTGTCAGCTAGTATAGTTTGAAGGAACGTCTCCTGAGTCTGAGAGAATGAGCTTTTCTCTCAGAAGCACCGTTACAGTTTGACTATGTGGTTAAAATCACAAGATTGGTTTGGATCAGTGGCTCTCAAAGTGGGGTCTCGGGACCCCCAGGGGTCCATGAGGAGGTCCCTGGGGGTCCCGAGTAAAAAGGGGTAATCATTTGTTTCCACTATAATTCCATCCATAAGTAACACAATGACAGAATGTATGACTATTTTGGTCATGGGTCTCAAACCACCTTCTGTAACTGAAACATCTAAAGCAAAACTCTTATCAGATTGGGGAACGCGATCTAATTTGTGTCAGTTTAGGGGTCCTTGATGTGAAAAAGTTTGAGAACTACTGGTTTAGATGCACAGTTATTTGATGCATCATTCTTGTGTTTCCCGTCTGTTTCCATCAGCCAAATCACAATCCTTCCTGACAAATCAACCTCCAGAATCCATGAGTTGAGCTTTTTCTTTGCTGGAACTGTCAATATTACATTAAAAATAAATTAAGAGGGTCAAAAGAAAAAAGCACAAGAATGCAAAATGAGAAAGGCCTCAGCAGCAGTGTGGCGATGCAGCAAGTGTATGTATAACTTAGAGGTCAGAAAGTCAAGTCAAGTCAATTTTTATTTATATAGCGCCAAACCACAGCAGGAATTATTTCAAGGCAGTTTTCATATAGAGCAGGTCGAGACCCTTCTCTTTTATAATATTGATTACAGACACCCAACAAGTCCCACCATGAGCGAGCACTTGGCAACGGTAGCAGGAAAAAAACTTCAGCAGAACCAGACTCAGGGTGGGTGGCCATCTGCCTGGACCGGATGGGTTGAGAGAGAGAGAGAGAGGGAGGGAGCAGGAGGAAGGACCACCATGCAATGATAATGATAATAGTAATGTGATAATAAGGACAATAACAGCAACAAGCAGCAGCAGATGTTGAGCAGGATCATGGAGGCTGGTAGGTGGTTTGCAGTTGCAGATCTAGACTCTACAGCTCTGGAGACAGAAGGACCTGCAGAGAGCAACAGGAGGAGAGAGGAGAGAGAGCACAAACCAATCAGACCCAAGTTTGTGTCCAAATGCTGCTCGGTGCACGTCTTCTAGCTCACAGACTTGGCTGAAACATGTCGCTCTTGAACAGTGCATTTACAGTTCCTCCTGACTCCCTGACTAATTACCACGGTGTACCACTGTGGCCATAACCTTAAATTTGATCAGGAAATTCAAGTTAAATAAATAAGTTCAGCAACTAATCTGACAACTGTTTTGACTGAAATCACAAACTACCAATGGCAAAGAGGTGAAAAACCAACCTTCTTCAGCTTAATAGGAATCCGATGCATTTCCAGAGTTTTTCAAAGGCCTAAGGTAATATTGCTTCAACCTAATCTCATGAACGTATGGACTGATTATGTACATATAAAGGTTCATTTGTATGCATGACTGCGCACTAGCACAAATGAGTCCTTTTTAACGCTCGGACTTGTGTGTGCTTCTCCTCCAGTCCCCCCCGAGGACCCGGTGGTCGAGGGAACCCCGGAGCTCCTGCTGATGGCCGGGACTCCGTACAACCTGACCTGTGTGACCCGCGGGGCCAAGCCTGCGGCGCACATCCAGTGGACCAAGGATGGAGTCGCTGTGGAGGGAGCCTACCAGTCCACGGTGACTCACACGCACCCATGCACACAGGCGGATAATGGCAAACACACACACACACACACACACACACACACACACACACAGGGGAAGACAACAAAACACACATAAAACACATAAAGTTTATTACACTAAAATGAGATTTTCTTAATCTCCTATGGCTTAAAAGACTTTGTAGTACAAGTTCTAGCACAATTACAATCTGCTGCTCAGTAACATCCACTCTCAGTCTGTTTATTTGTTGGTTTAAACAGTGTGCTTTTTGCCGTTGGCTCTGAATTACAGTGTGAACACCTCAGGCCATGCAGCACCCCTGCAGTCCTGCATTAGGGAAACACGGTGTGTGTGTGTATGGTAAACAAGCTTAGCGCATGACTTTCTTGGATCTTCGTTACTAATTGCAAATTCTGACCTGCAAACCTGTGGCTAGAAGCTTGTTGTGCCTTAAAACCCCGATTTTAAGCATTTGGGACCCAATTAAGAATTTATATTTTTTTTTAATTAGGGTATTTATTTTCACTAGTGGCAATGAAAGAGCACAAACATCAGTGAAATGCAACAGCAGTATTAACTATATCAAACTGAAACCTGTCTGTAACCGTTAATAGTATTAAATGATCAAGGAAATCATCTTAACTTCTCACTGTGAGAACGCATCAGCTGCTCTGTTATAAGATGAAAGTCTCAACAGGCAACAAATAAAATGAAATGAAAGTAGGAGAAATGAAAAGAGCGATGTTGCTTTTAAGGCCAAAAGATGAGTGATGTATTTGAAAAGAAACATGTAAGCATGACATGAACACCTCTCCTTTATTAAATCGTTCATTTATCATAAGAGCTTAGATTTTAAGCTACAAAGTGTTTGAGCACGATGACAGTGAGGGAGAATCTTAGTGATCGTACCTTTTGGTTTCTCTTCATTTAAGAGGTTTTAAAAGTGGAGTAAAAGGGTTGGAATGAAACTTGATAACACCTGCAGGGGCACTTGTGCTTTTATTAGGCCGTAGGTTTGATTCCCACCTAGGCCGCAGCCTGCAGTTAGATCCTGTACTTTCAGCAAAGTTGGATTCACAAAAAAAAAATAATGTCGACGTAAATGACTCCAATCCAGTCGTCCATCTATTTAAACCAGCGGTCTCCTACAGGTGGCTCGGGAGCTACCAGCAATTTTAGAGCAGCTCACCCAAAGTTCTGAGAATATAGTCTGTACAAACACAACACAACACGACTCAGTGAATCTACTCCAACCGCGATTTAATCAAACACACAGACATGCGCCCCCCTCGCTTCAACACCAAGTCATTATTTGTCAGTTTTCAGTCAAATGAGTTACTGTCAGGTTTGTTTACATCAGATCTGCCGTAGGCGACATGCAGTGATAGCAACTCTTCTGGATAACAGATATAAGGAAGATAAGATGATGAGAACAGATATAAACTAAACTTTTCCAACAAACAGGAAACATGTTGCCATGGATTAAATGGGTTAGGCTGTGGGCTTCAACTGGGGCCCCCTTTTTTTTTTTTTTTTTTTTTTTTTTAAACCCATGTTTGTTTACATTTTGGAAAATGAAGTGTACAGAATTATCTATTTTAAATTTCCTGTTTGTACCATTGGATGTACCTATTGACAACTTTCACTGGATTACTGACTAAGCTCGTTTTTTCTCTGATTTCTAATCATGTTTATGGACGTTTATTTGCAGTGGTGTTATTACGTGTGTGTGTTCAGGTCTGACTGAATCATGACTCCGATTTTTTTTTTTTTTTTTTTTTAAACATTTTTTTGGGTACAAAATGTGAATTTTGGATATTGATATTTGATGACTTGTTAAATGATCTCATTCATCTGATTTGTTTTGGAGACCAGTTTGTGTGTTTTGATACGATACATGAATAAATGTAACCAGCAATATAAGACGTGAGGAGCTCTCAGTCCCTCAGCTCTCGGAGTAAAAGAGGTTGGAGACCCACGATTTAAACCCACGTTCTGATCTCAATCAGATCTTCATCTGATCAGTCTTGACAGGCAGTATTTTTCATTCATGCTGTTTTTCGGTAGCCTTGCGTCTACATGTACAGTGTGTATAATTACACTCCTTCCAATAAGCGTTGTATCACTGTTGTCAATCAGGCTCGCACCTCAAGAGAAGAGAGGCACACGTGGATACAGAAATAGACATCAGTTACTTTCCACAATTAATGGTTGTGACACAACTTGAAACAGAACATCCAAGACATTTTTAATTAACCCACATGTCACAGATGCTTGCTCTCTCTCTCTCTCTCTTTCTCTCTCTCTCTCTCACACACACACACACACACACACACACATACACAGGAAGTAAGTGTAAGTGGCACTTGCACATTATCACTGTGATATATTTTGCATTCTTTTCTCCCTCATTCACACTCATGTTCCCATATACTCTCCTACACACATGAAATGATGCCTGCGAGCTCACACACACACACACACACACACACACACACACTGGCACTTGCACATCTTTGCTTTCATATGCAGCAACAAACACACTGACTCACACGCTCAAACACAGATGTTTTTACATCTCTTGCAGCCAGTTGCAGCCTGCCCCCTACACATGCTCATACATATTACATGCTGCACTTATGTTACCGTGTTACTGACCACGCATTTACACTACACTGAGAGCTGAACACACTTTTCTTGACAGGTTTTGTAGCTGCATCGCAAAACAACCCACCTCCTCAATCGAAGAAAACTGGATTTTATGTTCTCATTGTGCGGAAGACGATTTATAACTCATGTTTTTATGGCTGCAACTAAGGATTATTTTCATTATTGATCCACCTATCAATTATTTTCTGAGGGATGGATATTTTCCTAATACAGGCGCCCTTTAATCTATAATTTCTCAAGAACTGTGAACTATGCCGATCCCAAAGATAATGTCTTTGAATTGCCTCTTCCGTCCCACCAAACCCAAATATATTCAATCTACACTGATATAAAAATGAGAAAAGCAGCAGAAATAGTCGCCGTAGCCGATTAATCAATGAAATGTTTCAGCACTTCTGTCTTTCTCCTCAGTTTCTATATGAGTATTCAGCTCTCGTTTTTAAAATGCAAAGCCGGGTGTCATAATAAAAGTGAAATGCTTGCATTAATTGAAAGTAGACAGTCACTCGCCTGCACTGTCATTAAACTTCTAACTTGTGAAAAGAAAGTACAAAAACAAGAACATGGATTTCTATAAACTCTGTTTAAATTCACCTTTTCAGTTTCCTGTCTCTTCTCTTTCCCACTTATTCTCTTAAACCTCTGTTGTTGTTTTTTCTATTTCTAACTCCAGATTGTTATTTCTGTTTGTATTTTATGCTGTTTCTTTTTATTTCTCCTGGCTCCATTAGTAACACTCCGATGTCTCTCTCCTCTCTCCTCCTCGTCTTCTCTCTTATTTCTCCCATGATATTCCCTCTTCCCTCCTTTTTTTGTCCTTTTTGTCCTTTTCCTTCCACCGTGCTCCCCCTCTTCTTCTTTGATCTTTCTCTGTCGGTTCCCCTCCCTAAATTCTGCCCACCCCATCCTCTTCCCGCACCCTCCTCTCCTCTCCTCTCCTCTCCTCTCCTCTCCTCTCCCCTCCTCTCCTCTCTCTCTCTCGCCTCTCCTCTCCTCTCCCCTCCTCTCCTCTCCTCTCCTCTCTCTCTTGAACAGGAGGTGCTGCCGGACAGGAAGAGGGTGACGACCAGGAGCTACCTGCCCATTACACCAGTCGACACTGACAGTGGTTCCAACTTCACCTGTGTGGCCAGCAACCCGGCAGTGCCCATGGGCAAACGAGCCACCGTCACCCTCAATGTCCACCGTATGCTAGTCTTTCTCTTTCTCTCTGGTGCATATGGGGCTCGTGTGACTGAGGCTTGGCTATTTTTGTGTCGGCACATACCAAAATCACTCATTTTAATGCCCCGGCACTTGTCGCCTTCAAGTAATTAACAACAAAAATGACACATATGCTGTGTACATGAATTTACAGCCTCTATTTTCCACCATTCTCCAAATCTGGACTTGTTCCAGATTTGATTTAGCTGCTTGCGTTGTTTTTGGCACCGATTTCTAAGGCCAATAATTTTCACCCAAAGCAGTTCAGCGAGTTGATTTCCTTCAACTCGTGGAAAATACGAAACTTTTTTTTTTTTTTTTGTGTGTTTAAAGGATTTCAGTCGTGTCCCTGAAGAAATAAGGAAGGATTGCTCACAAGAAAATTGTAGTTTGAATATTCAATCAAGAAGATTGATGTGTTTTTCCAACCTGGTGTAGTTGGTAATTACTGGGAGAATAACCGCAGTAACAGTAGATGTGGAATCAGTGCTGTGTCAGTAACGAAGGCCGTAGAGAAGCAGGGATTTTTATTGCGAAATTTATAGTTTGTGTGACTTATTTATGTGGGAAATCAATCATCAAGCTGCTCAGCGGTGGTGAAACGCAACAGTCATTCACGCCATTGTTCACTTTATCTTTAGTTGTGCAATGAATATGCATCTTTCCCTGTGTAGATCCACCCACAGTGACGCTGTCCATCGAGCCTCGCTCTGTCCTGGAGGGCGAGAGAGTCACCTTCACCTGCCAGGCCACTGCCAACCCTCCTATCATGGGCTACAGGTAGGGATGAAGATTTACCGGAATTTAACTATTAAAAGAACAAATGCGCTTTAAAATCGGAAAAAAAAAAAAAAAATCAGCACTACCTAACATAAACCAAAATATCTGTAACCATCTGTTTAACATTGTCGCAGCTTCATGTCCATTTCAACATGTGATGTGATGGACTTTGTCCTGCAGAGCAGCATGAGGAGGCAGACCGCGAGTCTGTGCCAATGAGTTTTCTAGTCTGCTTCCGTCCACCCTCTGGACGTGACCCTGAATAGAAATTTCTGCTTAGAGAACAGAATTGGTGAAAGTATTGAACATTTGCACAATTAAACTCTGACTTTTATCTAAAGTGACAGAACTGAAGCAGTGAAATTGCTAAATGCGGGACTTTAACATGACAGTTTTAAACTGAGGTTTGAGACTCCAGCCCAGGGTCCCAGTGTGGGAGCACTGCCAGGTACTCGGGCACTAAGCCTATTGAGTGTATATTAAAATGTCATCTAATGGCTGATGTGCAATACGGTTCTGTGATTTTGAGCTACATATCTGGCAAGATACAGTATGAAGAGAAATGTTATTTTTTGCAACCATTCCCTCAGGTCGTTACATGAAAATGTTATTTTCGTAGCTTTAATTGATATAAAAAACATTCATGTCTAATAATGGAAATCAAACATTTGGATCACCGCCAAAAGAGTATTAAAAAAAAAAGAAACCATTATGCTTTTGGTATCTCCTGCTGACAAACTGACACAACAATTATTTTTGATGCTTAATAACGGTGATGCGTGCTCTCCGTCAGATGGGCTAAAGGCGGCGTGCTGCTGGAGGGGGCGAGGGAGAGCGTGTTCGTCACCACAGCCGATCACTCCTTCTTCACTGAGCCCGTGTCCTGTCAGGTGTTCAACGCTGTGGGAAACACCAACGTCAGCATCCTGGTGGACGTGCACTGTGAGTGTAAACACTCCCGAGCTGTTACTACACAGTATACGTGTGATTGTGATGTGTGATGTATGAGCATGTGATGATTAATGTGCTCAAGTTGAGAGTAATTTTGTCATTGTTCAACTCGTTGTCAAAGCCTATACATAAACAAAGTAAAGTAAATAACAATGAATATATAGAAAAGTAGTGATGATAGATGCAATGAAAGTGTTAGTTGCTGAAAAATGTTTAAATAAAGCCTTCAGTAAATGGAGAAACACATAGAATTATGAAAAGCAAAAAGTACATTTGTTTGCATTATAGTGAAGAGAATTAAAGAAGAAATAGTCCCCCGCAGTCCCTTGGCAAAATTGGTGCTCTAAGTAAAATTATGCTACATGGCCATAGCAGCAAATAAGCATCTTTATTAGAAAAAATGCAATTTTGGCAAAGATTTACATGATTAAAAAGAAGAGTGGTGGGAAAAATGCAACGCTGAGATCAATGACCTCTCAGATACAAATAGCCTTCATGTCTGAAATAAAACCTAGGGGTCGTGCAGATTATATGATGAAACTTTCGTGCTTTAGTCATAAATTGCACAGTGGGTTTGCCCATCCGCCCCACTAAAATAACGTGTGTGTGTGTGTGTGTGTGTTGGTTATAATCTCCTGCTGGTTCTGCTTCACAAACTGTTCCTGCTCTCACAAGTTCTACAAGAAATTTGGGGGTAAATGTATTTTTAATTTTTTGGATATTTTGGCAACGCTATGAAAAAAGTGCTTGTGTCTCCACTTTTCCTGTTTCAGTTTTCTATCAATTTTTCCTGTCTGATGTCGGTTTTGTAGCCGATCACCCGTTGTCCCTCAACATTTGTCTGCGTACAGCGGTTTTAATTATCTTCCTGTCTTTCAGTCGGCCCGATACTGGTGGTGGAGCCCAGGCCGGTCACAGTGGATGTGGACTCTGACGTCACTCTTAACTGCAAGTGGTCTGGAAACCCTCCTCTCACCCTCACCTGGACCAAAAAGGGCTCCAGCATGGTAAGAACAAACGGTCAAACCTTTCCCCCTCACCTTTTGAGGTTTTTCTTTCATTAAAATATCATATATCTTTTTATGTGTAGACAGGAAAGGGGAGAAAGTCAGAGCGCCAGATACTGGGGTAAAGCCCATCCCTGGAACTATAACCAAATCCTCCAGAAAACCCCCACTCCCAGCCCATATTAATGTCTAAGACCCAGACCTCATAAATGTTTGCTCAGTTGTAAAGCAGACGGTTAGTAGTGAGACTCCGTCTTCATATCTTAAATCTTTAATTCATGCCTAACAAGTTAAGAAAGGCTCCAGGAAAAAAACTAATGGAGCCTGCTGAGTAAATCAACATGTTTTATGAATTAAATATAGATCTCCCTCCCTCCCTCTTCTTAACATCTCTTCCCTTCTGTCTGTCTCCACTCTCCACCTCACAAATCTACTATCCTGCTCCTTACGCACACTTATCTACTTATTTATGTGTGTCCAGGTGCTCAGCAACAACAACCAGCTGTATTTGAAGTCAGTGAGCCAGGCTGACGCAGGCCAGTATGTCTGCAAGGCCATCGTACCCAGGATTGGAGTGGGAGAGACTGAGGTTATGCTCACTGTCAATGGTCAGTTACTTACTCTGCTGTCAATAACACTGCTGATATTAGCAAAAAAAATGATAAAATATGTAAAGCAGATCTGCCTGTGCACAGAAAACACGAAGGAATATTAAACCACAAAGACCTCCGTGATGTGTTTGTTTGATCTAGAATCTGTAATCATGCGTGTCTCTGCAGCTCTCTGACAGCGGACGCCACAGAATGCACAGAATGTAGCACCACACGGGTCTAAAATAATGCCGACCCGGCTTGATTCATTCCAGCCCGGGTCGAAAACCAAACCCAGGAGCTAATTTTTCAGCCCTAGACAGGCTCAGAGCCAATATTTCAATGCCAAAACCTTCTCCCAGAACGACCAACAATTGCTTAATAAATCAAAACTGATTCACCAAGAACACAATGACGAAAAACGAGTTCAAATACTCCTTAAATCTTCTCCGGCTGACAGAGTGCCTGGTCAAACCAGAGGGGAGGACGGCGACATTCATCGGCACGTCCTTGCAAAATATGAAGTGCTGAAAGCTTGGTGACCTGTAGTGACCGCCCACAGTCATTCACCAACCAGACAATATGTTAACACAGTTAATTAAGAGGAAAATCTTTGCACCATCCACTGCTTTCTCTCGACTGGCTGCAAACCGCGTCGCATCGGTTTTTATGGAGCCAGTTGTTTCTCAAGCAGAGCAGCACAGCTGATATGATAGCGTCCTCCATTTTGGACATCCAAACTGTGTTTATGCTGTACGTAACTCGACGCAAGGGGTTAACTGTAGTCCCGCCATAGATGCACAAGTTTTCATTTTGCAAGTTCAACATAAGATCCCCCCCCCCCCCCCCCCCACCCCCCCCCCCCCCCCCCCCCCTCCCCACCCCCCCCCCCCCCCCCCCCCCCCCCCCCCCTCCCCCCCCCCCCCTCCCCCTCCCCCCCCCCCCCCCCCGCGCCCCGCCCCCCCCCCCCCCCCCCCCCGTTGATATCCGTGCAATCCCTACAACACGGGCCACCGCAGTATGAGTAACAGTAGTGTAAACACGAGCCCGCAGGTCGTCTCCCTCCGCCAGCAGCTTCTTATGTTATGTTTTATCGGAAGCGGCCGAAGTAATTATAAGCAGTTTTTGTACCTAAACCCAAACAGTGGCTGCTCCATGAGTTTAGCTGCATGGTTATTATTGTAACCAGGGTCCGATACGCCGCTAGCTGTCCCCATCTCCAACCCCCACCCCCTCTGTGGCTAAATGCTTTAAGAGGCGCACATCAGCTACGACAGAGCCTACGGTTTATCTTATGTGCATAAGCTCTGAGTGTTAACACATCTATAAATCCAACCTCACCGTCAGTTTGTAATTTGTAAATTTAGCCCCAAACACAGACACTGAAAAGCTTGAACTGATGTTATAAACGTCGGTGCGACCAAGAGCAGAGACCCGACAAAATTCACAACTTTCAAAGGTTCTCCCCGACCCCTCACGTTTCCCCATGAAGCCAAAACGGTCAACTAACACATCAACCTTACATGTCCAGCACATTTGCTGCCAACACAACATCACGCTCCCTCCACTTTGCCCCATTCGGGCCTACAGTTTATGAGTGGAAAACGTGCCCATCATGTTCCTCATAAAGCAGTCGTTTTTGTGCCAAGAACTGGAGCAAATGTTTTAATAATCACCGCCTGGTGCTTCACATTATCAGATACAGTTTATATGAAATCCTTTTCTATATCGTCTCGCCGGGGGTCACGTGTTTACAGCAGTGTCTGCACATTAATGTGGAAATGATTTGTGTCTTCCAAACCTTTCTAAATGAAATGTCTGGGTCTGTTTGCAGTAATCCTGCCTCTGTCTCTCTGCCCCGTCCTATCTCACTCGCTCAGGTCCCCCCATCATCTCCAGTGATCCGGTCCAATACGCTGTCAGAGGGGAGAGAGGCGAGATCAAGTGTTACATCGCCAGCACACCCCCGCCTGATAAGATTGTAAGTCCATCCTTGGAAGTTGTAATTTGCTGCAGAGGTGCTCGACCTCTTCAGATTGCATCTGCCACAAACAGAATCCTGATCACAACAACTCCTCGTCCACCCTGAAAACAGAATGATTTTCTACTTTCTCTTCTTTTTGGCCCCGTGTTACTCACCAAACGGTGGGTAACAAGTGCCATTGTTCTCCAGCTGTGTCACGGCTACGTGGGAATGATGTGTTCCTCCTCTGTGGTGGAAGGTGTGACTCATCGAAAACAGCTGCTGTTGAAATGAAAGCGGGGACACGCAGCACTGTACACATGTTCCAGAGTTAAGCAGATAAGATTCAAGAAATCATGATTATTAAAGTATTTTGGAAGTGTTTAGTGTTTGACAGCCTAGAGTGAGCACATCAAATAGTATTTTCAAATATGAAAAATCAAATAGTAGAAATCCCATATACCAATATACTGTTTACCAGCTCATCTGTGACTCAAGTCCAACAAATCCCAGCCAAATGTCTTTGCAGTTTTGAGATATCGCCCCTCATTTTTTTATTTGTCAAAATGTCTAAGCTGTGTCGCAGCTCAGCTCTGGGACAACAGTGGATCTCAGCCGTACAGTGTTGTGAGATGTGCTCAAACACCCCCTTTGTCTTTCCCCTCCGACAGATGGGATGGCCTTGGGATGGAATTGTTGGACAGTATTTTTTCACCTACGAGAAAAAGGAATTGGCCGCCGTGAATCCGTGGCTGCACATGTGAAGACAATGTGATTGTGTGGAATTGTTTAGTCTTGCTCATCACTTTTAGTGATCCATGTAGACCTTTCTGCTAATTTGTCACAGTCGCCAGTGTTCCTGCAGCCACAGTTGCAGCACGTGACTGACTCAGGCTCGTGGAGCCAGATAGCCCTTTGTAGCTGATAGTAAACGTACCGAGGTTCAGCACAAATACATGGATATATTTTATATATTTTATGTATCTTTTTCAAAACATAATTTTATGTTTTTTCAAATTAGCTGATCTACGTTTCTAGGTTCCCCATGGAGTAAATGCATCCCCCTTACTCTCCCAGGTACCTAATCCAAAAAGGGGCACAGAGGTGGGGCGTGTGTGGAGCAGAGACTCCGGTGTGCATGCTGGTCTGTGGCAAAGCATACGTTCACCCACCTGTCACTCAAAGTGGCGCGCCCTCAATCATGCATTAATTTAAGCCTCAATAAAATTTAAACAAGTGAGATGTATATGAATTAACGTCCCGTACAGTTGTCATGAAGGAGGAAATTAGCCATAGAGACAATAACCGTTTTTGTTTTAGGCTGTAAACATGTTTATTTCTGCTGTAAAGTTGGGCATTTTAACATGGGAGTCTATGGAGATTGACTCACTTTTGTATACAGCCTCAAGTGGTCTCTGGTACGTCCATGTTGGCTTCATTTTTCAGCCTCGGAGGTTGCCGCTTGGTTAGAAATCACTGTTACAAGACGTACCAGTGATATTAATCACTCTGCCACTGGATCCAATCATTTTGCTGTCCTTTAAAGCCGGTCTAGAGCAGTGTATCTCAGCCTTTTTGACTTATAACCCCTTAAAACAAATCAATGTCTACCAGTTCCATCAAAGATGAATTCTTCTTCTTCATATTGTTTTATTAGACTAATTATAAGAGCTCTAAAGATGTAAAATTATCCACTTGATACACCAGAATTGATGAATAATTTAATTTGTTTAGCGGAAATATGTTTTTTTCCCCCTGCTTTCCCGTCCTGTTAATCTTCTTGTGACCCCTCAGATGTATTGACCCCTTGGGGGGGGGTACCAGCCCACTGGTTGGGAACAGCTGGTCTAGAGGTTTGAGAGATCTGTTTGTGAATGATTTGTATCAGTCAGTTGTAACAGTTTCTCTCGCTGAGCCAAACAAGAAACACTTTTGAGTCATTTTAAGCAGCACTGTCTAAATTTACGAAATCGTCGAGACAAAACGTATGACATTAGAATACATTGAAAGACGGTACAATCACATAAAATTGGACATATGGAGGGTTTAAGACCTCTGATATTAAGAGTTACTGAGTTATGGTCACCATGACGGAGTCAGTGTAGCACCTAGACCGTATTGATTTTAGTGTGAATTGGACCTACCAGCTAAAACCTTTCCAATCCAGTGATCCCTTTCAAAGTGGTGGCCATCTTTTCTATAAAAGAAATCTTTCACTGAGATTGCCTTAGCAGCAAATTGTAATGGAATATCCTCCTGAATGTGCCACAACTGCAGAACTCTTTGCTGTTTTTTTTCATTCCTGCCTTTTGCTAAAGTCGCTGAGTGCAATGCTTGATCAAACTGCAGTTTAATATGAAGTGTCTGCGTGTTATATAGGTTACAAAATGAGCAGTATGGCATGTGGATATAAACCTTTAAAAAAGGCAAAATACCAGAATGCTCACAAATCACAAGAAGAGGCCGAAAAATGGAAATAAATTCAGTAATGACATTTGAGTTTGAAGGCTAGAACGAGCGAGAGAGAGAGGGAGAGAGTGTGGGGGTGAAATAGATTGAAATGAGAGAGGCATGAGATGGAGGGAGAGTAAAAATCTGTACCTTTCAGCGTCAATTATCCAATTGTGCAGTGCCAACATGACAGAAATCAGAGCTTTTAGGAAGCTTCAGCCCCCCGCTGCACTGGCAGAGAGCTCAGAGCGTATAATGTGGTGCGACATTATAGTCTCGGCTTAATGCAGAGACACAAGGACTTATAAAATATGGAGTGTGTGTGTGTGTGTGCATGCGTGCGTGCGTGTGTGTGCCCATGTGTCTACAGTGTGAGTGTGTGTGTGTGTGTGAAAAGAGGAAACAAGAGATTGAGAAACAGAAACCAAAAGACAGACAGTGGTGGTGCAAGAAAATTATTGTGTGAAAGAGCGATAAAGAAAGGGGGGGGGGGGCAGAAAAAGACGCATTATGCAAGATTGTCAGAGTAAAAAAAAAAAAAGAAGCAGAAGATTTGGGGGCTTTTTTTTTTTTATAAAAAAAAATCTCCCGCACCAACTCTTGATCACATACTCCCTTTTTTTCATTTTTTTTCAAAGCAGGTTAAAAGGTACATTAGCCCAACATATGGGCCTATGTATATTTGATATCGTCATGCTCCATATTTAATATCCTCAAATTTCTACCTCAGCAGATTTTAAGTAGAAAAACCTACTTGAGTTTTTATCACTCGTGTACACTTGCTGCACTCTGCGTGTGTGTGTGTTGGCGTGTGTTGGTGTGTGTTGTGTGTGTGTGTCTGTTGTGGTTGATTTGTTATTTCCTCCCCAGCCTGAAAAAGTTTCTCCAAACATTTTAATTAGGCCTATACTGCACCAGGAGAAAAAAAAAAAAACTAGTTACCAAGGTGTGAGAATATAATTTGTTTTGCTTAAAATATATTTCCTGCCCAGACTCGCTTCAGTCTCTCTTAACCTTTCTTAACACCAGCCCATCTGTTGGCGGAATGTTTACTTGTGTCTCTGTGTGTGTGTGTGTGTGTGTGTGTGTGTGTGTGTGTGTGTGTGTGTGTGTGTGAGTTTATTGTGGTTAATACTATTTAAGATAAGATAAAATGAAATTAGCATTATTGACGCCTCAGGGCAAATTGGGCGATTGCAGAAGTAAAGAGCAGAGTTTAGATAAAAATCCATATTAAACATATTGGAGATTGAATCTTCATCACACTTATACAGAGCTCCTTGTCGGCTTGAAGGACATCCTGCTGTGTTTATCATGAACAGAGTTACAGATGTTTTAGTGGACAGATGTGACAAGCCTTTGCTCTTATCTTAATCTTAAACTGAAGTACACCTGCTTTTCGATTCGAGCCAACACGAGAGTGAGTGCTGACTACAAAATGTGCTCTGGTGGCCCGTAGTAGTACAGAGTGTATTGATAGTCCCACCCTCCTTTCTATCTGGTGTGTCTCAGGTCTGGGCATGGAAGGAGAACGTGTGGGAGAAGGAGAAGGGCACCCTGATGGAGAGGTACACCGTGGAGCAGAGTAAACCTCCGACCCAGGGCGGGGCCGTTCTCTCCACGCTCACCATCAACAACGTCATGGAGTCTGACTTCCACTCGCCGTACAACTGCACCGCCTGGAACTCCTTCGGCCCCGGCACCATGATCATCACCCTAGAGGAGACAGGTATGTTATAGTTTGTATCATGTCAACATAAGGCAGTAAAGTGCCTTAAAGGTGGCAATGTGCATGCCAGTAAATGAGTGGAAGAAAGCTGCCCATGCAAAGAATGCAGCATTTTAAAACATTAAAGAAAAGTTCTGTAACACACACAACGCTTTTTGTTAGACCCTAAAGATACCATGTGGAGTCTGACCATATGTGCAATATGTTTAATTTGGATTTTTTTTTTTTTTTTTTGGACAGGTGATGCAATGCGCAGTCCTGCCTGCAGTCTCACAGTACTCTATTGTTGTACACATGGTGGCCGTAAAGAGCTAAGAAAGGTAGCAAAGTGCAAGCAAAATGCAGGGAAGAAGATAACTCGTACATACAGCCAATGCACATTTCAAGATATAAAGAAAAAATAGTTTTATTGGGAAGTAAAGGAATTGTTAAAATGTTAAGCTTTAAGTACACATAAAGTGCGTTTTTATTGTGAGACACAGAATTGTGTTTGTTTTCAATGAAAACTCCACAGGGTTCCTTTAATGTCCTCTTCTCTCTCGTACAAACTGAAGTGCCCCTGAGCAAGATTATTAAGCGGTGGCATCAGCTGGAGGACAGAGAATAGATAATAGTGTTGTTAGTCCATTCTGGATTGTTACACATTTTATTTGGAGAGCTGGGTATGTCACATTACATTGAGAAAATGATTTCTTCATGCTCTGTCAGTCTTATCTGACTCTTATTCTTTCAGCTGTCAGATTTCGCAGGCTTCAGAAAATCTTCGAGAGAGAGAGAGAGAAAGAGGAGAGAGAGAGAGACAGAGAGAGAAGGAGAGCTTGGATTTGTCTTTATGTGTACTAACAGTGTTTTTATCCCTTGTCAGACTTGCACGCTTTATCAACATAACCAGCCCTCAGAGATTCAATATTAAGGACACAACAGGATTTGTGCTTAAATGACACAACATCCATGCAGGTTTTTAGTAACAATGAGGCAGCAGCTGTCCCTCAACCCCGACCCTCTTTCTGCTCGTGTTTGTTTCAGATATTGTTCCAGTGGGAATTATCGCCGGTGGTACGGTGGGCTCCTCCATTCTGCTGCTTATGTTTCTACTGGCACTCGCCTTCTTCCTCTACCGCCAACGCAAAGGCAGTGAGTGCACACAGTGGTTCTTTAATGTGTCTGGGCGCGCGCACGTGTGTGTGTGTGCGCGCGTGTGTGTGTGTGTGTGTGTATGTGTGTGTGTAGGTGCTCGCACACACTTACTGTATGTGTCTATCAGTCTTTCTTTCATCCACTCTCCCTATCTGTCATTCTGCCTTTCCACGAAGAAAGGAACATATGCCAGCCGTATAGCATTTTATTCAAATGAGATTAATGAATATTCATATAATAACGCAAACTGCCTTAAAAACGCCTACTGTATATTTCCGTTTTCATTCAGCTGATATGGAATTGTGTGATTATGTTTTAAATAAACAGTTTTTGTATGCCGCTCGTACACTAGATAAAGTACATAAATAACAGCGCAGAAAAACAAGAGCATTTAAAGGTGAATAGTATTTAAATTATGAATTCCTATATGTTATTTCTACAGCCGACGGCAATCAAATTAGAATTTGAGAGCACAAACCGCACTTGTGCAAACCAGAGAGCACATACAGAGCATGTTGTGTCTTCTTGTTGTGTCATTTTGAGCTGTGCTCCATAGCAAATAAAGAGTTGGGAAAGACAATGAAGGTGACTGGCACATTCCCAGGAGGGATTTTCTGGGGATAAGAGTATATTTTCTGGTTCAGAGCTGATAACACCACTACAGAAAAGATATTGTTTGAAAATAGAAACTCAAACAGACATCGTTGTGGCTCCAGATAAAGCATTCTCTCATTTGTTGTGTATGATGCAGCTCAAGACTTCACAGATCTCAATCTTTACTTTTGAGGTTTCTTGCTGTGGAGGAGAGCTGCTCGTGTTCACGAACATTGACTGTTAGGAGTCGTGTGAATTAAAAGTGAGCAGTGCTGTGTTTAACATAGAAATATACTGTACCTGGTTTATCGGCCTAAAATCTGAATTTTTGCTGTAATACATATCTCACCCAGCAAACCAAACTAACACCCTTTTAATGAGATGACATGAAATATGTTTAATCTCTAAATGTGCATATTTAACCTAATATGCTCAATTCAGACTTCAGCCATGTTGGAAGTGTCACAGAAATATTATGAGACCCAACTGAATAAGACTGCCATTATGACTGTTGTTTAAATCAGTGACTGCTGGTGTTTATTCAAACATGAGACAGGTTTATGTACAGTAACAAGCTCTATGTCTGTAAGGGATTTAAAATGGAGTATATTTACCATTTGCCCAGAATTTATTTTCTATTTTTCTGTTGTATCTAGGCAAACCAGGTTAGCTAAATCCTCTCACGACATCCTCCACCACCAGAAACTAAGTATGTAAACAGTGAGGAGTCCACATAAAATATTCTTTAAGATTTCTGGGGATAAAGACCTTTTCTTTGCATATGAGACAAAATGGCCTGATGCAGTTAAAGGCTCTATATGTAGATTTTTTAAATGTGATTAAAGCATCTCACAGTTTTTTCTGATGGCAAAAAAATTGTCCATTCTATTTTTTGAAACTACCACTAGAAGTTGCTGAAGTCACAAATTTTAAAATCATAACATAGGCGCTTTAAATTGTGTACAATTTCATGTCAAGGACAATGCCTCATTTTCATACAAAATACAGTAAAAGAAAATCAACAGTACACATCACATTTACTGGCAGAAAGATCTGTTTCAAACTCTTCATCTTCACCATTTTCCTCATAACAGCCCCTAAGAAAGAAATCAATGCCAAAGGAACATGCAGTTTTCTCACTTCATCGTGCTGGATACTGACGTCCTCAAAATTCAAACCATCACCTCTCTCTGCCTTTTGCAGCTGCCAGCATACCAAATTGCTCAATGCACCATTATCAAAAGAGAGAAAATAAGACAAACAAGGCAAATAATGGCCCAGACAAATCAGACAAAACAGCATTAAACAGAATCAAGTGTTTTTACTGTTAGTTTTTGTTGCTTTTTTTCAACCAGGCTGTTAACTAAATCAATGAATTATCTTGACGTTGACCCAGAATATGACTGGAGGTTGTGTTCTTGTTCCAGGTCGCCGGGGTGTCACACTCGGTAAACCAGACATCAAGGTAGAAACGGTTAACAAAGAGACCCACAGCCTGGAGGAGGAGGCGACAAACGTCTCTACAGCAACCCGGATGGTCAAGGCCATGTACTCTGTGAGTAGATCCTCATCTGAGTCACCGGGGGCCGTGGAGAGGAGGCGTATGGGTCAATGGCCTTAAATGTAAAGATACACCAACACAAAGGGCGGCATGGCAGGAGAGGCAGCTACGCACGCACGCACACACATGCACACAGATGCACACACATGCACACACATGCACACACAGTAAAACAGACACACATGCATAAGGCCTGCCTGTAACACACATTTAAGTACACACACACACACACACACACACACACACACACACACACACACAAAGAGGCAGATTCTCACACATCATACATACAGAAATACAAAGTAGACAGGAGACATCTTGCAGATACGCACCCAACGCAAATTAAACTGATATTATTCTCACTCAACATTAATACAAACACACACACACACTCACTTTAACGCCATGTTTCTTTTAGAAACCCTGGAAGTCCTGGAGAATCTAATCAACGAGGCTCCTTTGGTGCGGTTTTCAAGCTCGGCCCGAAACTTTTTTTCTTTTCCAACAACTGAGCGTTTCTCGTCTTCCACTCTCTTGGGATGAAAAACCTGAAACTCTGTTTTCCTCTCCCCTCCCTCTCTTCCTCCTTCTTTCCTTTCTTACCCTCCCTCTTTCCGTGTGTGTGTTTCGTTGTTTGATGGTTTAGTTTCTGCCCTCTGTTTCCCTCTCTCCCTCCACTCAGCCATTCAAAGACGACATGGACCTGAAGCAGGACGTCCGGAGCGAGAGCGACACCCGCGAGGAGTACGAGCTCAAGGTGAATTGGCTGGCTGCCCACAGAGACATTTTAGCATTTTGACATTGGATTTTTTTTCCCCGTAGCACCTTAAAGATTTTATCCTGCATGGCGCACAGACATATCGCATGCCGTGAACTATGTGGTCATATCCATCATTACGTGCTGATTACCAGTTGCACTTTTTCCTCAGGTTTGGCATTTTCACTGGAGGTAAAAGCCTTACTCTCATTTTTTTTAAAAAACACTTTTTTCAAAAACTGTGCCTCTGAAGTTCCCGAATAAACAGATATTAGTGATGATAATCCCCCAGTTTGGTTTCTGTAAGATTAAGGCTAAAATCTCCTTTTAATCTCAAAACCGTGTGTCCTTTAATTCTCACTTTCACAAACTAATTAATCAAAAGGAGCAAAACAAACTACTTCAAACATTCATGTTGCGAATGTGCCCTAATAGAGCTCTTATTCCAGAGTTAGCTGTTACACATATGAGCTCTCACCTTGCGCTGGAAACCCTGTTTATCCTGGTAAAGTGAAGTTGTATCATTATGTGTTGTGTTCATGCACCTACGCTGCACTGCATCATTCACACATCATTACATTTTTGGACATAGCATGAACACACCACCAAATACACCCACATCATCAAGCATATCAGCGTACAATGTGACAATATACAGTACATAAAATATGAGCAGTGTGTAGTATTATTTAATAGGGGATGTGTTAAAAGTCACTTTGTTATAGCAACTTAAGCTGGCTGAGTCTGTATGTTTTTTTTCTTAACTTACTTTTATCAGAGAGAATATCCTTAAAGGTCCCATATAGTATAAAGGGAGATTTCCATGTGTTGTTTGATTATAAAACAGGTCTAGGTTCTATATTCATACTGTGAAAGTATCAAAGCCTCAGTCCACAGAGAAATGCACACAGCCTGTATTCACAAACTGAGCCTTAAAATGAGTGGTCAGGACTTCCCTCACTTTGTGATGTCACAACAAAACAGTCACCACCCTCAACCATTCTCCAACCCCTACCCACCCAGGCCCACCGTCCAGCCTTGCAGGATTTGGTTTCTCCGAGTGTTTACCTGAAATCTGCTATATTTGTATTTAATCACTCAGAAAACAGTCAGCCAATCAGAAGAGAGCCTCCTCTCTTCTGATTGGCTCACCGACCTGTTCTTACTAGAGCTCCAGAGAGAAGCCTGAGAGAGTGAAAAAGTGTAAAATATGGGACCTTTATTAAACTTAATTTAACTTCAGTTTTTTAAATTTTATTTTACATTTTATTTATAGATTACTATTTTTAGTGTTTTTATTTGTCTTTATGGTTTGATTTGTTGCTGTTGCACTGCATATAAAAACATTATTTTTCTGTACTGTTGTGGATAAAAGAAAAATGCAACAGTTCCAGGTACTCTAGAGCTCCCAGTCTTTCTTTATGATTATAATTATAAAATGATATACAAATGTTACAGAACTACCATTGCTTACGGCAAGCTAAGCAAGCACAGACCAGATGTTTATGTGTCTTTACTACTTAGCATAATGCAAATGATTCCTCAAATGATGATCAACAAAAAATAGGACTGAAAAGCTAATAGTGTCCTCTGTGATCACAGGATCCAACCAACGGCTACTACAACGTCCGAGCCACCACCCACGATGAGGCGCGCCCCCAGTCACGTGCCATCCACTACCAGGGAGAGTTTCGCTCGCCAAACCCAAGTAGCGGGCCGGCCGGTGCCACATCCAGCGGACCCTCAGCTGCCCCCAGCGGTGCAGTTCCCCCAAGCGGTGTGCCAGGCTCAAGGACAGGCTGCTATGACCCCCGCCCGCCTTCCAGGATGTCCCATGCCACCTACGCCCAGTTCAACACCTTCTCCAGGGCGGCGCAGAGCCAGCAAGCTCCTCCCAATCCGGCACTTCAATCGCCTGGAGATTATCCGGGAGACTGCGGCCTGCTGGACAACACAACCCAGCTGGCCTATGACAACTACGGATACCCCTCCCAGTATCCCAGCTACCGCATGGGCTTTGCTCCGCCCATAGAGGAAGGGCCAGCCTATGAGATGTATCCAACTGGACAAGGGACCGGGCCAGGGCCGGGGCCGGGGCTGGGGCCGGGGCCAGGACCGGGGCCGGGACCGGGGCCAGGGCCGGGACCAGGGCCGGGCCCAGGACAGCAAAGTCCTGAAACAGGGCTGGGGAAGTATGGAAGCTCCACTCGCTTCTCGTACTCGTCTCCCCCCTCTGACTATTCCCACAGACACACACAGCGGATGCAGACTCATGTGTGAGAAACACATACTCACTCTTTGGCTCGCTTTTTTTTGCAGCAGTACTTACTACACATAAAAATACCTACCTTTCTATACATGCGCATTCAAGAATCTGTTCTCTCTTTCCATGGCAACCAGTGCATGGAATTTGGTTAATTTTCTGAACCAATAAAACACAACAACGCACAGCAGTCAGCAGCATCGCATATACAGTACTCTAGTTAGCAGCAATACATACGACACATGCAAAGCGACATTCACACACATTTGCGCAGACCTTCTGTTACGTGCAGTGTTTATGCTTCGACAAAAGCAACAGCGTGCCACAATCAAGAGAAAAGAGACAAACAGAGGAGTAGAGCACTTTGAAGACAGGAAAGAAGAGGAGCGCCGAGAGCTTAAGGAGGAGCAGAGGAACCGTTTCCTTCCTGCAATCCTCGTTTTGCTCGTCGACCATCTCGCCTCCCCCCTCTGCATCACATTTTCCCTCTCACCCCATCCCTGTAAATACGTACAAATTCAGATTTGGATCATTTTAAAGTTATTTCCTTGTACAAACCTATACAGTGTGATGCAGTGCAGTGACCTACAGCAAACCTCACACCTTTTTCTTGCATTTTGTGACTCTCACATATTGCAAAACACAGACACACACACACACACACACACACACACACACACACACACACAGATCTTTAAAGACTCATCTGTTTCTATGTATTGCAGCAACGGGGCAGCTTGAACTATAACTATATCTGGCACTTTTTGATCCTCTTTCCTCACTAAAACCTGCCCAGTGGCCATTTTTTACAAGATCTACCTTGATTTAAGTGGGACAAAGCTTCTTAAGGTGGTACAGTGAGTGACCAGAGTGCCGATGCTTATGTGCCAACACATACAAACTATTGACACGCGGCTTCTTTTGTAAAAGCGTAAGACGAGATGCTCTGGAAGACGAGGTTTTGTACATGCCACATCTGAGAGGAAAGGAGCGGTAGCAAGCATCTCTGTAAACTCCTTCTCCTCCTCACCTCTCATTTTTATCATCATGATACATTTCTAGACTTCACATTTCACTCAAGGTCAATGCTGTAAACAGTATTTGTGAAACGAGGTGTGGCAGGAGCGCTTTTTCATTCAATGAATTTCTGCAATTTGTACAAAAAAAAAAAAAAATACCTCCCCTTTCCTCAAGTGTCAAAAAATATTTGTTTCTCTCACTTGCACAGTAGAATAGATTTTTTTCCCATATTTATACCGAACCATGTGGAGAAAAAAATGGCATTCAGAAACATTTTATAGTATTTTTATAAGGAGTTGTGGACCAAAGGTTCAGAGTTTTTGGGTGACACTCACTTTTTAACGTGCAGGTGGCAACGTGAGCGTTATTGGAAACGTTTGAGTTTCTTTAAAAAGAGATGGATGGTATTTTTAAAGTGGATGTTGTTGTAGACTTAAATTAGAAGATTTGAAGAGCTCTATTCCATAATGGTGAATATCCAGCAGGCGGGGGAGAAGCCTCTCTGCTGGATATCTCCGTTTGGTGTGAAACTCTTCCTTTGACTTCCGGTCTTCTGACTGGACTGCCTTTTTTTAAACGTCGACGACATTCAGAAGTGATGGATGGAGAACAGGCAGCCGCTCACTCTGAGCTGGGCTGTGAACGCAGTGAGCGATGAGATGGTTCGAGTGTAGTCTAACATATCAACATGAAGGTACAGGGGGTTCTATCTAGCTCATATGGTACTATGTACATTTATGTGTAAGTGCTGGGTTTCTCACCGCAGCAGAAACTTTTGGTGGTATTTTATGTCTGAGATCTTTCCATCATGTTGCCTCAGCTTTGGTTTGTGTGATTGGCTTTTGACCCCACAGGTCAATGATGATCAGCATTTAAAATATTGCTTGTTTTGCTCCAAACTCTACCGATGCAGCTACTTAACAAGTCCCATATTTACCAAATGATTCCTCCAATAGAGGACAAAAAAAAAATGTTTTTGTTGCAGCTTAGTTGCTTTGCTTACCTTCCCAATAGTAAGTCGAAATTCACAATACGAGTTTACAAAAGGCTTTTCAAGACTGTAATTTGATCAGTGTGGATTATTATCTGTGTAGCAAGTTTTAAGAGTAGTGATGGCTTTTTTTGGCTGATGTAAAAAATAATTTTAAGTAAGAAGTGCTTAAAATGAAGCCTTGCTTATAAAACACTGGTGGATGTTACCGTTTATTTGAGATGAAAAGAAGCTAAAAGCTTTTGAATGGCTGTGTGCGACTGCTTCGTTTTGTATTCTCCAAATTGAGCAATCTTTCTTGTTACAAAATCACATCTGTGGGGAAACGAACACAGATATCCAGTTGGCTGTTTATGAGCAGTGAGCACAAGAAATTCAGTTTTGTTCAACGTATGTGGGATCATGTTTTTCTGCGGTTGTTCGCCTCCACAGGAAATAATTAGACTTCCAGTCACTTACTTACAGTGTTACTCGCAATGTGAATACTGCACTAAAAACATCTCAGATAGCAAAATGCAACTTCTGGCACAACATATGCCTGGGTCCTCGGCCTGAGTCTGGCCCATATACGTCCACATCTGGGCAGAGTCCAGCTGTTATCCTGATGATTGGGCGCCAGAAGTGGTCCAGATGTGGAAGAAGCATCTTACAATCATGCTCTTTATATGGGCCAAATTTGGGCCGTGGAAGCGGTTGTATACTTAGCTAGAAGAAAACAAGCATGTGGCCAAAGTATGGGCCGGATTTATTTTGCTATCTCCAAAAACAGCTACTGGTGCTAAAACAAGATCGGTGAAAAACTGTCGGCTCGTCATCGGCCATAATGTCACCGCTGGTCATAGAAGTGGTTTAGTGTGCACACTGAGCTTTGTGAGTGAGATCAGATTCAACAGTCTTCATCGCACCATCTCACAACTTCACCTTTTATGGTGACAATCATTTCTTGACAAGGACTCCACAGCTGCTGCATCAATCTGTACAACACGCTGAACTTGAAATTATAAGATTCCTTCAAAAAATACAACCTCATTTTTTAAGAGACATCAAGTGATACACTGACTTTTTTTTTTTTTTTTCAAAACGTCTTTTAGCACCCGCCAGATGTTGCTTTTATTTCAACCTTTTCTTGAGCGACCATCTGCTTTATCTGACAGACAAAGTGAGGAAGGACTGAATACAACAAAGTGTCAACCACTTGTATCTGTGACATGTTTTTTTGAGCAGTTCAAAGACGATAGCAGGTGAGGTGCCGCTTTACGAAAAAAGAGATCAGAGGCTGCAAAGCGAAGCCAGGAATCTTAGCGCCTCCAGAGGTAATCATTGAGTCTTTATACTTATAAGCCACCCTATCAACCCCTCACAGATACAGTATATTATGGTAACTTTGTGCTAAGGGGCAGTAAAATTTGTATTTATTGCCCCTGTTTTGAATAAACACTTTCAGAGAGGAAAGCCACCGCCACGTCGTTTCTGATTAGAATATCAGATGGAACCTTGCGGCTCCAAGGTCACGATATAAACTGTTTCAGCAGTTATGGAGAGAAGAACGGCAGATGGAGCACCCTTTTAAATTTATATGGTTATCACAGCCTTGGTACTGCATACTATTACCTCTTTACAACCTTTTTACAGAGTTGTAGCCGTGCTGTGTTTTGCATCTGACTTGCAATGTCATTATGACCTTGTGTAGAATGAGTAAATCTGACACAGTGGAGGTACTGAGGGGCCAACAAATACATGGCCAGGCCACCCAGGTACTTAGTCATTACCTCTTAAGTATTTACAGTCTGTTGACAGTGGGGGCATATAAATATGTAAAAGACACCATAGATGCCAAACGTGCAAAATGGATGTTTACATTTGGTTCTGCGATGAAAAAAAAAAAAAAAAAAAAACCATGTGGTTTGGAAGGGAATGTGGAAGTGTTTACTTCTCCCCCGCCCCCACCACCACTCTTTTCTCATGTGTACCTCTCACCGCTGTGTGTATGGATACGCTCTCCTGTGTCACATTCATAGCCACCTACCAGCTTCCAGATTTAGCGGCTGAAACCTGAACCTTTCCATGAAAAGAAATCATTGCAAACCTTTCTCTCATAGCTTTCTTCCATATTTTTTCTTCAAGATGAAAACATATGGGGTAGATATAGCGATCTAGCTTGTACAAATGTATGTATGGGTGTGTGTGTGTGTGTGTGTGTGTGTGTGTGTTGGAGGGGCCGGGTTGGGAGTCTGTTTTTAGAGAATATATAGCTTCACGAGCTCATGACATCCTTCGGCAGTGTTCATTATTTCGCGATCTCCTTTCTTTCTATGAAAACCTGTATTTTCAAAGTTATTTTCTTGGTATTACTTTGTGGTGTTACGTCACCAGAGGAAGAAACGACTGTGGTCAGAAGTGTGTATTTAAACTTTTATACACAGTATTTTGTTTGATCTTGTATGCATCAGATAAGGGGGGGGGGGGGGTTCTGATTAATCCACCCAGCGAAAGAGAGTGGACGTGTGCATCTGTGGCCAAAAAGACTGCTCAGCCAGGCCACAAATAGCCAAAATTCTGTCTCAACTAGGCCAACCCAGACTAGAACCAGGCCAGACCCACAGCTAACTGCTCTGTTCCATGCTGTGCTGTGCTGTGCCATCCCTGGCCAAGAGTGACTCAAGTGGCTCGGTGTCCATTTTTACCTTGTGGAGTCCTCAGTGATGCCAAAAGACTGTGCAAAGAAAATGAACTGAGCAGACAAACAAATGCAGCAGCCTTTTGTGTTTATTGTGTTCATGGTATGCTCATGGGTGACTGTGTGTGACTGTGTGTGTGTGTGTGTGTGTGTGTGTGTGTGTATGTGTGTTGGCAGCATGTAACCCCAGTGTGATTTCACACCATTATGAATATGTTGGGACCACTGCACTGTAGAAATAATAGGGTTTGACTGATGTTTTTGGCAAATATCACATTGTCACCTGCTGTTATGATGGAGGCTACTCCTGACCACACTTGCATTTAAATGGGCTCAAAAAGCTACAATGACATTAGATTTCCTTTTTTATCAGATTGTTATTCATTCATTTCATAGTCCAGTAATCATTTTTGAGAAAATATTATTCATTTAAAGGCAGTATTTATGCCCAATAATTCACTTCCTAGTGAATATGTGTTAAAGTTATAATCC